GAATGCATCCACGTTTCAGACCAGCTAAATTAAAAAAAGAAAAATGACATTGAGGCAGACTTAGCGACTTCTTTAATAATAGCAGAGATAGCACGATAGCCCAGATATTAGTGGGCACCACTACTCATGTCCAGTCTTTTGAAAGGTGTAGGAGCTTTTGGTTATGATAACCAAAGGCAGCTTTTTTGGATAAATATCAAATGATTAACAAGTTTTATAGCATAGAATTTCATATGTGTAAGAGAACTAATGCTACAAAATTGATAGAAAATTATTTAGCATCAGAAAACATTTTTATTAAGAAGACAAATTGGCATGGACTAGAAGAAAAAGTTTAAAGCAAGTGTTCAGGGGGGCTGCACAAACATTTACTGTACAGTTACTATCAACGTAAAAGTAGAAGTTTTTTGCTACAGCAGTTTAGAAATGTTTGAGGCTTTATAGGCTCTATAGTTAGAATATGAGTAAATTTAGCTCAGTTTGTTAGATTCCAAAAATTGTATAGTAGTTCACCCTGCTTGGGTCATCAGTTTATATCAATTTGGGGGGGAAAAAACAGGAAAATCAAGTTTAGGCTTTTACTAATCCAGGATCTGGGTCCCCTCAACTTCTAACCCTTGTCAGTTCTTGGTTGAATGGAATACTTGACTACCTTTCCCAATCAACTTATTTGTAAACTCTCCAATCTATGTTTTATTGTCAAAAAAACAGAAAAGGAATTTTATGAGATCATTTACCATACAGCCTTCAAAAGACTTATCAGCTGAATGGATATAACTATTGTGGATTCCAGAATCTTTGAGAAAGAAGGCAATTTGTGTTACTGGTTCTGCTGTAAGGTATGTTCTTATAAAAAGCAATATAATACAAGCACAACCAGTTCTTTAAATACAACACAACCAGTTCTTAAGGTAAAGAAGATATTCTAATAACTTAGACTCTCTGAAAAAATTGAAAACTTGGTAAAATATCAACAATTGTCAGACCTATACAACACAGTAGAAGATGCAGTAGAAAGAACTAAAGAGATCTCATACTGAAGTATATTTACTTTCTTAACAACATTTATAACAAGGCATTAGACAAAATACATTTTCACAAACCATAATTTCCTAAATGCTCTTTTAAGAGGTTTATATCATACTTATTTATATCAATAATATTCAAAAGTGTCTAGAGCGACAAAGATTTTGAAAATGAGGAATGTCAGCTTATATGGAGTAGAAAACAAATCATACATATGACTATCAGTGAAGAAATGCCATACTAGTCAGAAAAATCTGAATAATTAAAATTGTCCATAGTTAGCATGAGGAAACAGTAATGTAGAAGAGAGAGAGAGAGGGGAGGGGAGGGGAGGGGAGGAGAGGAGAGGAGAGGAGAGGAGAGGAGAGGAGAGGGTAAAATTAGTGAAATTCTTCATATGGACTCTGAGTGTCACTGTTGGACAGCAAGGGAGCTGCATGGATGAGTATTGCAGCAATCCATTTCCATAATATTTCAGCTGATCGGCAAGGAGATGCAGCAGAAAGCATTATGTTAAAAGCTGTTCCAAAAAGGATTATATGTCTATGATCTTACTGTAAAATATTGGGACAACTGGGGAATTCTATGTGGAAAACAAAAGAGGAAGAAAAGAGGAAACAAAAGATGAAGATGGAAGCAAAATACAAAATCAAAATACAGGAACCAAATTTGAGGCAAGTACTTTTTCTGTTATTGTGTTCTTTGGTCAACTGGGGGGTATCTGAGCAGGTTCAGTACTCACTTCCAGAGGAAACAGAAAAACATTCCTTTGTGGGGAGCCTTGCAAAAGATTTAGGGCTGGATGTTGAGCTGCTGCCAAAACGCAAACTTGCTATCTCTTCAGAAAAACAGTACTTTGTTCTGGATGAGCAAAATGGTGATCTCTATGTAAATGACAGAATAGACCGGGAAAAGATTTGTGGAAAATCACCTACTTGTATCCTAAAACTAGAGGTTGTGGCACATAATCCTTTGAATATTTTCCACATAAAGGTTTCCATCTTAGATATTAACGATAATGCCCCACAGTTCAAAGAAAAAGATATAAAACTTGAAGTGAGTGAGTCTAATGTGCCAGGTGCACGATTTGCCCTTGGAAATGCTGAAGACGAGGACATTGGAATCAACTCCCTTCAAAGCTACCATTTGAGTTCAACCCCATATTTCAAACTAGAAATCCAAGAGACCAAAGATGGTGGCAAATATGCAGAATTAATTTTGCAAAAGCCACTGGACAGGGAAAAAGAGCGCATGCACCACTTGATTCTTACAGCTTCAGATGGGGGACATCTGGTGAAAACTGGGACTCTTAACATAGAAGTTAATGTTATTGATACAAATGACAATCCACCAGTTTTCTCCCAGGCAACCTACAAAGCAAGTCTGAAAGAGAACACACCAAGAGGGACTTCTATGCTTCAGGTGAAAGCAACTGATATTGATGAAGGGTCAAATGCTGCAATCCATTATACAGTCAGTAAAATCCAAGATAGTAATCAAAAGAAATTTAGTTTGGATCCCATCGATGGAACAATTTCACTTAAGGAAAGTATAGATTTTGAAGACAGAGGAAGTTATGTGATGATTATACAGGCACGTGATGGAGGTGGACTGGTGGGACATTGCAATGTAGAGATTGAGGTTCTTGATGAAAATGACAATGCTCCAGAAGTAATTATTACATCTGTATCCAGCCCTGTTCCTGAAGATATTCTACCTGGAGCAGTGATTGCTCTCATCAAAGTCCATGACAGAGATTCTGGACTTAACGGAGAAGTCACCTGTTACCTAAGGGAAATTGTACCCTTCCAGATAGTCTCATCATCAGATAATTACTTTAAGCTCCTCGTAGATGGCCCTCTTGACAGAGAAAAAACACCAGTGTATAACATTACAATTACAGCCACAGACCGAGGCACACCTCCTCTCTCCACAGATAAAACCATCCCAGTACCAATTTCAGATATCAATGATAACCCTCCAGCATTTGAAAAACCTTCCTATGTTGCCTACATTCCCGAGAACAACCCATCCGGAATGTCCATTTTCCAAGTCAAGGCTTTTGACCCAGATCTGGATCGTAATGCCCAAATCACCTACTCCATTCTTAACAGCAACGTCAAGGCCCTGCCTCTCTCCTCCTACGTTTCCATTAACTCTGAGACTGGAACTCTCTATGCTCAACGATCGTTTGACTATGAGCAGTTCAGAGAGTTCCAGATCCAAGTGCAAGCCCAGGATGGAGGCTCT